TTTGTTCGTATTATATCTAAAACATGCTGTTCTTTTCAACTTGTCTGTATGGCGAGCAAAAGAACTAAACCAACAAGATATTCCATGTAATTAACATTTGCATATATTTAATTATGCTCGCGTACTTAGGCGTACCTACTTATTGTAGTTAAGTTAGAGCTTTAGATGTTATCACATTTAAAGCGCTGTGGAGGTATTGTAAGTATTGCGGTGTTGGGAAAACTTATTATTTATTATTTTTCAAAAAATTCACTATTGCATTCTCAAATATTGAATATAATGTTTTTTTTCGTATTGTATTTTGGAAAATCTCGATAAAAATATGCCTATTTGGATATTTCCACTATACTTCTACCAAATATATAAGCGTCTATTTTTTTACTATTGCAAAATCAGTGGATTGAAAATACAATTTTCCTTCTACTATATTGCGTTTTATTCATCTTTGGAAAATAAACTGTAGATACCTGCATATTTTATGTATGTGCCTTTCTTATGTACACTTAATCTAGATATAATAAATATCGAATATACATATGTATTTTCTATGTACATATATCATTTAGAATGTTATAATTTTTTTCTTCTCAGTACAAGTTATGTGAATTTGATTTTTGTAGTGTTTCTACGAGGTATTGCTCAGATATAGAAAATATTTATGTACATATGCTTCGCTTGTTCTAATATATATATATATAAATGCTATATCTCTACGTTATATATATATAGTGTGGATGTGTAGTTTTATATGACAATATATAACTATAATAAGCTGATCATATATGTAGGTACATATAGAAATCGTATACAGTTGAATTGTGGGTGTTCTCTTTCGGAATAGATGTACTATAATTTTATGATATTTTCTCTCTAAACCATTCTTAACAGAATTTATCAGTTGCACTTAAATACAGGGCTAGTAGGCAATACACACAACTCCAACTGTGAATGTAATAAATTCTTGATTCTAACTCATCATTCAAATTGCTAACCTAAAGTTTCGGGGAAAAATGTGATTTTGTAGCACATTTCGCAACCGACGCCGAGGTTGACATTATTTCTTAACGTGCTCGAGACCTGATGAAGGGTGGCTTAGATTTAACTACTTGTCTGTCTCGAATTATCAAATACATACGTTGCAATATATGAGGCTGCTAATAGCTGTTGGATATACAAGTGACGTCATGATTGTGGTCTCCATAGAGACTGTAGCGCCGATTTAGCCAACGGCGGCGACAGTACGATACAATATTTGCACGACCGCAAATATTTGCGTATACCCCCTTTTGTTGTTTTTTTCTGCAAAAAATAACATTATTGAAGGAAAAAAGTAGCATAAATGTTTCCATGTTTGCTCGACTATTTGTGGAAGAGAGTTCTCGATTTTTTTTGTATGAGGGCCAACATTTCGATATTTTCTCGGATTTTTTTTTGGGATATTTCTGTCGAATGAACTTGTGATTGGGAGTTCTTTGCGGTTAGTAGAAGAAGCAGTGTAGAAAATATAACTTTCATTGGGGATTTCTAAACGTGTTCTTTATCATACATAGTCTGTGGTATAGATTGTACATATATATATATATATATATATGACGATGTATATTCTGTGTTCTCTTTATGTTTCGAAAAATGCTTAAGGTTATGTCAGCACCCCTCACACCCTCTTAGCTCTTCTTCGCTGTGATATAAAATGGAAGCGTATTGAGATATAGGGTGCTTGTGTATTACGCCTGATAATTTATATGGAGTTGGGTCTCATAAGATGTGCAGGTTATTTTATAAGAGAGTACATTTTCAGAATCACCTAATTGTACTTCATTTTGATGGCACAAGTTTGGAGTTTTCAAATGTTGAAACAGAAAGAAATCTTTGCATACACCCTGTTCATGCACAGCAAACATATAATGTATCTTCTATCTAAAATACATATAATAGCATCATATAGTCTGTACATAATGTTTTGTGTACGTAGAGTATATAAAATGAAACGCAAGAGATATGTAGAGAGACCAACAGCGTGGATACGACTACGAATTACACTGTTAGGAATAAGTGTGCATTTTTCAGTTTTCTTTTTATACCATCGGTCGATGGTATAGAATAGTTGATTTCTAGTACATTCTCTTCGCTCGCTCTGAAGCACAGGGGGTCGCAATTGAAAGGGAGGGAGACAGATAGAAGGGAAAAATAGATGGAAATGTTCATTAAATACGCGAATTTGTGTATGAATGAGCAGGAGGAGGTATATACAATAATGGGGCTGTCTCTCTCTCATACTACCAAATAACCAAACTCCTATGACCCAACAGACACCATTGCAATATGCTAAATAAACAGAGTTGAAAGAAACTCGCGCCTCCAACACTTATTCACTGTGCAAGAGAGATGGATGGATCGGCGTGTGATGGATATCGTTCTATCCGTCGAAATTTTCATATATCCATGTCGCTATGTAGTGTGTATAAATGTGAGACAGAGTGTCATAAACTCTGTGTCACAGGGTGGTCACTGATCGCGGCAATATTTCCCAAGTTTGCCGCTATTGGCGGTATTGTTGCAATTTCTTAGAGATCGCGTATATGTGTGCGCAGTCGTTGAGGACACACTGAGCGATATGATATAAAATTTATATTAGTTTCATTATGATTGTTTTGATGTTTTGACTAGACCTAGCAGTGGAGAATAAAAAATATTGTCTACATGGATAATAAACTCATGGTTAGAGACAGATGAGATGCTTTTAGAAACTACAATACACGCAAACGCACCCCACTTATACACTGCAATAAACTGGAGTGATAATAAAAGAGAGGAGTTTTTTTTAGGAATAGGAAAACGCGACACATATACGACTGCAATTGACACGGGGATTCGGTTTAAGAGAGAGAATTATAAAAGAGCCTATATAAAATACACCATCACGTACGGCCTTTAAGGTCAAAGCCAACCAGAATATGTAAATAGATTTAGAAAATGGTGAATATATATATATGACTATATGTAATGACTTTATGAAAATAATTATAAATGAGTGATGTGAATGATTTATTTGCGGGCTATTTTTCAGAGGAGCAATAGAGTGAGAGAGAGACAGCTGAAGAGATAGAAATGATCGTGCTATGTTGGGGAAGTGTAAAAAGATGTGAAAGAAAATATATTAATCACAATTATGCAGATCGTATGTCACGCTGTATTAATTGAATTTGATTTTATTGTGATTAATTGTCATTGTTTTTGCACAACAATTCAAATAGCTAGTTTGTGCTTTTGTGCTATTGAGAAAATGTTGAGCATGAATTTATGAAAAATTGGGAATATCTTCATTTGAATATTCCCACCCATATTTCACTGTGAAAGTGCATCCCAAGCGCTGAGGATATAAATTAAGGGTCTGTTATCGAAGCATGTGTCACCCTGTAGTGTTTTATAGCTACAACCCGACCAACATCCCTCTAACAACCCAATATACTCTTACAACATGAATCTACGAAATATGTATACGTTGCACGTCTATACACGCCCCCAACAACCCAATTGTAGATATAACTTTTATTTATGCCTCTCGTACATAAGGAGACCCGTTGGGGATGGTTTCTCGCGGTGTGACTGTGTATGCATGGAATAAAACTTCCCCTTGCTGACGGTCATGGCGATTGCGTTGACTTTCCTCTCGCTGGTGGTGTGTGAGTCATCGAGGGTTGAAGTGAGATGGAGAGCAGAATCGAATGCTGGGGTGCGAGAGAGATGTGAGATCTTAACTGATGGGTATTGAGCGCCTATTTTTCACAGTGTACCGACGATTTCTTCCCCTAAGTCGAGGGTGGCGGGCAATGCAATGCCAATCACACTGTTACTCTTTCATGGCAACAGTGCTTCGTCTGGAGATTGTGGTCCTCACACTTGAGACAATATACAGTCAACGATGGAGAAAATAGGGGAAGAAAGGAAGGATATATAGGAATGAAGTATAGTAGTGAGGAGTGTATTAGTGGGTGTTTCATTGATATGAAGAGGGTGGAATGGGAGACTTTCCTCTTATGTAGCACATAAGGTAGATGGTTGGGTAGGGAAGGGAATGATCATAAATTTGTAAGGGTGAGTTCACTCACGCTGGTGATGTGGTTCGTCATCAGTTACCATCGTATTTTCTGTCTCATTCGCCACCCTCATAGCCGGGGCTGTGGGAAATGCAAAGAAAAAAGAAAAAAAGGTCTTATGATGGTTTGTCTCCCTGATTCACTGTGTCGAACTGCGACTACCACTATGGCAGGAAGTACTTCTCCCACCCAGCGCCCATGGTGGCTCCATGGAGTGCTCCCCAGACTATGTACAGTGTCAGCAGAGTTGATACTGACCCGCTCATACATTCCAATTCATCATATTTTATCTCATCTGTCATCGCGGTACTTAAGAGGTTTGTCCAAGTTTATGAAAATGGGGTTGTTCTTTTGAAGAAAGACCACGTGTATGACTGTTGATTTAGAAGAAACGTAGAGAATAGAGGTAGAAGAATTCATGGTGTTGTAGAACTACATTTTACTACAACATTTTGTATTAGGATATTGATAAATGAAAATTAATCTTATCTGTTTTTGCACGGAATATTCAACTCTGCTAAAATTCCGTGGTAATGTAGTGCGGCGAAGAGAAATATTGTGAGGGGTTGGTTAGGAGTTGGTGTGAATGTGTGCGAATGGGGAGGGTGGTAAATGGTAGAATGAGATAAACGTAGTGGTCGAATGCTTTTTTGCGTTCTGCTTGCTTTATGCGGAGCTTTCGATGATGTTGAAAGAGGGTGGATAAAAGGATGGGGAAGGGAAGGTTGGAAAAGGGACTGATGGAGGGTTGAAGGAGGTCACCAATGTATTAAAGGGGAACTGCCATGCTTTGAATTCAAAGTAATTCCATTTTTGATGAATTTTTGGTAAAATTTGTCAGTCTTACCACACTTTGTAATGTTAGGCAATTATTAATATATCTTTTTTTTCTTTTCTCCGCAGAGCCTTAAGTGTACCTAGAAGACATACATCATATTTCAGTCAGACTGAGTATCGGGTGCATGAACTGAATAAGAGGTTACAGCAAAGAACAGAGGTGAGAAATTGTTGCAACGATTATTTGAAAAAAAAAATTGTGTCTCAATGACAACATTAACTCTTTGGCTTGCAGGAAAGTGATAATTGCTGGTGGGATTCCTTTGCCACGGAATTTTTTGAAGATGATGCAACGCTAACATTGACATTCTGTCTGGAGGATGGACCGAAGAGATATAGTAAGTTCATCTCATTTAACGTTCGTTATTTCTATCTTTTCGACACCTAAATGGTGTGCTGGAGTCCCTTTATAGCTCATGTATGACGATATACAATGTCTTGAAGAAACTGAGAATGTGTCCGAGGGTAACAAAGCGTGAATTTATTGTGTCTTATACGAGTCCTATATATAATTGTGATATGGTGCGAAAGCTCATCGTGCATCCAAAATATTGTTGACTATATGGAAATTGCTATACATAAGTTGTTTTTCTGTTATGTTCGCTAAATAGGAGTAAAGATGTGCCAAGATTATAATAATGTCACGCCACATTAACCAAGGGCAGACCAGCAAGAAAAGGAGAGCTACAGAGAGAATCTCCAGGATATTTTCACCCCAGTAACGCTCCACTGAAAGACAGTAGAAGAAGTTTTTCCACCCATTCTCTCTCAATGTATCTATTGTTAGACTGTACTGTTGCATTGATGGTGCAAAGTAGAAGGTAGAGATGTGATGGTACTGGAATTTACTCCCTCGTATTGTACATATCACGGATGGTTGGAAGAATGTTGAATCTATCTGATGGAAGTATTTTGCACGATTTACAGCAAATGAGAAAAGGAATAAATAAAATGATGGGATGCTGTACAAAGGGTGATACTGTCGAATAAGAAACATTTATGCATTTTAAGATTATATTAAGTAAAGCTTACTAGTATTATAATAGTTCACTTTAATCGAAAATTAGAACTTCACAGTGTGTGCGTAATTTCCTTACGTGCATCCCCTTTGATTCTATTATTTTTATTTCTACTCTATATCAGGTTGATTGTAGGAACCGAGTAGAAGAAGGGAGTCAGCACTGAGAATAGTTGGATTTCTGAGGAATTGTCGGAAAAAGTATAGAGAAACAAATTACTGAGTGGATGGGGTGTTACAAATAGCAATCTTGTTTTATGCTATGCTATGTGTGTGACGAGGAAAAGAGGGAGGATGGGAGACAATGAGATTGTTTTGCGAGATTTTGGTCAGAATGTATGTGACCTGCTTCTGTTCGTTTTCCATCAACTGCGTGTCAAAGTTCGCCATGTGAGACAGAGAGATTAATGATGAAATGAATTACTATATATAGGATTTTTTTTCCATTCGTATGAATAATGACTACCTTTTTGACACATTTTCAGTTTTCCCTTGGCAGTGTATATGATCATCTAAGTTTACTTGAACAAATGATTGTTTTTTTCACACAATTCAACACATTCATGAGTTATAATAAATGTGATTTAGTGGTAAAATTTGCACTCTGGATTTACATGGAGAATTTATGCTAACTATCTTTCTTTTTTCTCTCTTTATCTTCGCATTTCTCACCAACAGCAATAGGCCGAACGCTGATACCACGGTACTTTCGAAGTATATTTGAAGGTGGTGTCACAGAACTCTACTTCCATATGAAACATACGAAAGAGTCCTTCCACAACACATCAATAACATTAGACTGTGAACAATGTACGATGGTGACACACCACGGGAAACCCATGTTTACCAAGGTAGCTCAGCAGATTGTTAGTATTATCTAGCCATGGATTCTTCATAACATCTCACTCGCCATTGTGTCCTAATCAAATCTCTCTTTCGTACAAAAATGCAATAGGTTTGCACCGAGGGGCGACTGATATTGGAGTTTATGTATGATGACTACATGAGGATTAAATCGTGGCATATGGCTGTGCGGGCTCACAAAGAACTCATACCACGCACTGTCGTCGGCATGCACACACATACACCTCAGCCAGATCCTGGACTTTTAGAGCAATTGACAAAGAATATCACACGACAGGGGATCACAAATTCAACACTTAACTATCTACGCGTGAGTGGTGATATTTCGCTACTGATCCTATGGAGACAATTCACACATGAGTCCCTTTTATATGTACCCGGAACCGCTTCAGGGAATGTCTGTGTGAATTTCTTCCTGGACACTAGCCATATATCTTTTGTCTGAACACAACCCCACCAAAGTGGAAATCAATATTATCCCTGCTTCTCTGTTTCTTTTTCGTGCTGGCGACAACACACATAAACGGCTGGAAAATCCTTTTGTGGATGGTGAATTTGGTAATCGACATACAGTTATGTGTTATCCTGGAACCAATGCAAGAGCTGATGTCGCGCCACAAAGCGTATGCGCTTAGTCCTCGAGATTGCCTGAAGACGACGTTATTTCAAAAGTGGCAGCGAATGGTTGCACCGCCGGGTAAGAGAGGTACTTTTTATATTTCATGCCAAAAGAACGAAAAAGAATCCCATAAAGGGGGAAAAGCATGATGTCAGGAAAAATAGTAACACACTACTCTCATGTTTGTTCTTTGAGCAAAAGTTCCTCCACAGAAGGAAGTAGATAAATACAATATACCTAGAGAAAGTAGAAAAACTTTTGTGCAATGAGGTATAATTGCTATATAATCAGAAATTTTTCTTTTCACTCCGAATGAAGGAATATATTGTTAAATTAGAGCAGAAGTTTAGAAAAGATATACAAATCAACAATATGATCAGAGAGGGAAGAAATAATAATAAAAAAAAATGTGGTTGTCAGAGAATAAAGACAGACTTCAGACGATCATTAATTAATTTTTTTATGAAAAGACATATCATGACTTTTCCTTTTTCTTTTCTTATTTATAGAAAAACTTCCAAATCAGACCGGCAAAAAAGGTTAGTCAATTGAAATGTTGAAACAATGAAAAAAAAAAACAGAAAAAGGATGATCGTCTGAAATCATCGCAAAATTTTTCTTATCCAAATAAAACACAATATGCAAAATTATACCATTGCTTATTAGAATGCAAAAGAATTATATGCCATATCCAATATGGTATAGACTGTATTCAAATTGCATTTTGTAGAAGGAAAAGAAGTGCACACTCTGTTGAGTAATAAAATTAAAATAACATAGTAGAATAGAGAATTGTGCTAAAAATGGCAAAATAGAATACATCGTATTTACTTTTCATATCTTTTTCCTCTGCTCTTCCCATTACAGATACCCAAAGACCGGCAAATAAGCGGCGAAAAAGAAAAGGCTCCAATTCAGGAGGAGCGGCTAATAATGCCCCACCCGTGCCAAGCAAAAAACGATCCCCAGGACCAAATTTTTCCCTAGCGTCGCAGGTAGTTGAATTTCGTAGACCAATTTTACTGATTTCACTAAAAAGACTGTCTCGGTGCCCACCCACTGGAGTTCATGACATGTGCCAGGAAGCTGCCCTTCGTGGCAGTCTGATTAACTCTGGTGCATACATATATTTAATAGCAGTGCCAAAAAACACTTTTGAGACTAGCTTCAAAGTAGAGTTTCATCAAAATTTTTCTTTTTGAACTGGTTCGTTCTAGCACAACAAATGAGTATTTCTTTCTTTCCTTTTCTCTTGTGATTATTACTGACATTTTTTCCATGGTGAATAATATATTCGCTGTGCATACTGAAGAATTTTAGATAAATAGAAAACATTTTGTTCAATGAACTCTTATTGAAGGAGTTGTAAGTTTAAATCCCAATATAGAAGAGATGAGGTGGAAATTGCTATAAAGACACTTATCTCTTAATGTGCTCATCAAAGCTCCCAACAAAAATAGAGATGTTGAAGAAATAATAGTGGATTAGGAATGTAATGCTCGGGTGTGTCAAAGAGAGACTACATCGTAAGTCTTTAATCTCATAATTAATTACTCAAAATTCACTTTCATACCTCAATTAAGTTCTAAATGTGGGAGGAGGTGAAGATGAAAAGTTTTCTTTTAACTCTTGTATCATCATGTGATAACTCCAGTGGAAGAGAGATAGAATATCTTTTTGATGTTGTTACATTAGAGTATAGAGTGAGTAAATGAACAGGCCAAAATTTACCCGAGATGATGGTATTGATTTAATGAGACAGCAGGACAAATTCGTGGTTTGGGTATGTTGATTGCAAATGTAATGCGTTTCTCTCTGTCTGTCTTTACATGTGATCCTCGTGGAATGCAGGATGTCATGGTAGTTGGTGAGCCATCACTGATGGGTGGTGAGTTTGGCGATGAGGACGAACGACTGATAACAAGGCTAGAGAATACCCAGTATGATGCCGCAAATTCGCTGGAGCACGATAACCATGGCGGTTTCCATGCCGACTCACCGATGACCGGGCCCAATTCGTGGAATGTGGACCGAGGTGGACCCCAGGGGAATACACCGTCCAGTCAGGATTCGGAGAAGAAGAGTCCGGCCGTTTCGCAGTGACGGATAACAATACAGTCCACTCTCTATCCCAGCACTGGCTAAAATGTTCTCTATAATTTCATATGGAGCGACATAAAGCTGCCTCCTCTTCCGAATTATCGTGTGAGTGTTCTGTGTGAGTGTAGATTATCGTGTTCAAGAGTTTAGAATTGGACAAGCAACAAGGATGCAGTGCCACTAGAGGATTCGATATGCATTACGAGAACCAGACAATTTTTCACTGCACACAGACACATTAATATTGAAAAGTGAGAGTGAAACCGCCGTGCTTATGTGAACGTGTGCGCGGCAAAGTGTTGAGGACACTTTTCTCTGTCCTGCAGACACTATGAATATTAAATTACCTTCACCATTTGTACATAAATGTAGCAATAACCACTACATAACTCCACTTGATGAACTTTTTGATGGCATAAGAGCAGAAATTGAGAGAAATTGTTGCACATGTGAAGGCGTTTGTTGGTTAAGAGACATTCTTTCGAGGATGATGGGGTGAGAAGTAAAAGTGAATATTTGGATGTGTGTAAAATGTGTATAAAAGAAATGTTCATTTTGTATTTTGAAAAAATGCAAAACCCTATGTGAGCACAATGTGGATTTTTTAGACGAAAACCTTGTAACAAAGAAGACAGTTTCTGCTTGAAATTTAAAGAGAGAAAAAACATCAAGAAAATTGTAGGTAAAGAGAGAAAAAGAAACATTATTTAGTATCTAAAATGAGGAGAAAAAAAACCACCACAAGAAAAGAAAAATTTACAATTTTATTTAAAAATATTATTTCTATAAAAGAAGAAAACTATTTCATGTGAATTACAACTTCGACGGAACTTAAATAGCACGTGGTTAAATTAAATAGCAAATAAGTAAATCAATGAAATTACTTAATAAAAAAATTTTTATTAAATAATTGTATCAGACATTGAGGAATACAGTACGATATAGTCGAATGAAGTGTGCGAGAGAGTGTATGAAAATGTAAGAGGGAATGTGGACACTCGAAAAAATGACGGCATCAATTTATATTGTTTATAAACAAAGGCAACAAATCGAAATTACAGAATATCCGAAGGAAGAGAAAAAGTGAAAAAAATTATAGAGAGACACAGATAAAGAAAAAAGAAGTAAAAAATTAAAGAAAGTGGGAAAAGAAGAAACAAAAGATTATAAATATTATTATTAAAATGAATATTATTACTACTATAAAGATGAAAGATAGTGCTTAGGTGAAAATTGATTGAATTGATGCGAGAGTTTACAACAAATTTTAATTAAATTGATTAGAAATTGTAATAAATTTATATAGACTACTCGAATCTCTCTACAAAGTCAGTATTTGTTGATTAAAAGTAAAAAAAAATGAGAAGATAAATAAAAATTCATAAAAAACAGTGTATAAGTCACTATACACGCAATGTAATGTAAAAAAGAGGAAAAGAGAATGATAAAAGGAGTGAACGATTGTAAAAAACACTGAGAGGACACACATTTGAAGACATGAAGAAGAAAAATCCCAATTCGTGCGAAATAGTAGCAAAATTTACCGTCACATCTCTTGAGGAAACAAATCTTTCATTCACAATGATTATTATATTTGTATAATTTTTACCAAAATGATTGTCTATTTATGTACAACCTAATTTAAAGAGAAATTAAATCTTTTTAAGTTTTTTAATGCCAGCCAAGAGATATATTTTAATAGCAAGACAACACTCACCTTTTGAGAATTGCAGTTCTACATTTGGGAAATGCTAAAATTCTCATTGAGTGAATGAATTGTAAGAAAAATTGTGCTTTGTCGCAATAAATTGGGGTAAGAAAAATTGGTTTCATGCATTTTTTTTATTGCGAACTTTGTGGGAAATATTTGGGGAAAAAATCTTATTAGCGACAGAGCAAAATTTTAACTTGAATCTTAAAGACATTTTATAGTAAAATGCAAAGATGTTTCTTTTCTAGGAAGACACAATGAGAAAATATCATTGAATTGAAAACGAATTTTATGTATTTTAAGTTAAGAGCTCAATTTGGAGTTTTTCTTTTTATTTTTGCCATGGAAAAATTAAACTGCCTACCCGAAATTTATTTGTCAAAAATTTAGGAAATTTCTGTGATATAAATATCTTGGGACATTTCTTGACATTTCATACATTTTCTTCTTATGTGTATAAAATAAAATATCAACCTTTAAATTGAGCTTTGAATGTTTTTAAAGTTTTCCATGATTTAGCGCTCTTTGAATACCTCATCAAATCATGTTTCGTAATCAAGTTTTTACTAAACCAAATATAAAAAGACAGAAAATATTCTCATTATTCATCCCTTCGGGAGTGAAAAGTATTGTAAAAGAATGAATAAGAGTGTGCATGGGTCCAATTTTAAGAGAATATCCAAAAGATGTACTTGTTAAATGTAGTGTGAACTTCTTGTATAAACCATACTCGTAGCAATAATCTCATACTTCATAACTGTTTGAAGGGACAAGAAAAGGTTTCACCCTCGTCACGTTTTCAATTCAATGAATATTTTTTATTATTGAATATTACACTTTCTTCTGTCCATCTTTTGATTCATCTCAACATTTACTTGCATCGGACAAGAGTTTTTGGTTATCCACATTAGATAAAATAGAACATTTTAGAAAAAAAAAATAGAGGACAGAGAGAAAAATTGTGCTGTAGACAGATGAAGAAAATCTAAACATCACTTTGCATTTAATTTCTAATTGTTTCACTTTCAATTTATTCGATAATATTGTGCAAGAATCTAGAAAAAAAAATAGATTGACAACACTGATGTGAATAGATATAAAAGAAAAGAATGTAGAAATTTTGTCAGTTATCAGTTGTCATTGCGCTACCAAACAACTTAATTTACAATGTAAAGGATAGGCAAGAGGTGAAATTTGCGAGATAGGATTAAAATAAAACTAGCGAAAACATCTCATTTTCAACTGTAATTACACAGAACAAGCCACAACATCATTATACTCGCTTTATTTGTAATTTGCGTCTATAAAAAGTAAACCATAGTTTGTGGTACATTTTTTTTTCAAACTCAATTTAACACATTACAGAAAAGATGAGAAAAGTGGTGGCTGTGACTGAATGTAATTTCGCGCTACAAACATTTATTAAAGGAAGAAAAAAAATAGCTAAAGAGATAAACATTGAAGTGAGAATCATCCTCTTCTCCAACCACCAACGTAATGAGCAAAAGAGAATACAATCCCTAAAGCCAGACACTAGATATGAGAATCATTGCTGGCCAGGTCCTAATGTGTTTCGTACATTTTTGGGTGAATGCAATTTATGTAAAATTTAAATTGGTGTCGGAGTGCAAGTCTTACATTATAAAAGTAAACTAAATCAATTATTACTGAATGAAATAAAAACTGAAGGATATATTAAAGGCGGAGTCTAGAGATTTCTTATCCTCAGAAGCGCTGCTGGAAGTTGTTTTGCTGCTGAGAGTTGTTGAACATCATCTGTTGTTGTTGCGTCTGTTGATGGTGGAAGTCTTGTTGCTGGTTCATCTGCGCATTCTGCTGCGGATGCCCACTCGGGCCAGTGAGACGCACCCTTTTGCCGTGATCGTGGGAGCTCGATTGTCCCGTGTTGTTTTGCTGCTGCTGAATCTACAATAGAAAGTCATATAGTAATACATCAGTCTTCCACCGCATAAATGAAAGTACTCACATTTTGGGGATTTGGCCTTTTATTGTCTGATTTCTCTTCTTGATCATCGTCCGTGAGGAATTCACGCTTCGGGTATGGAATGGAACATCCCGCAAAAACATCCTGCGTGGGAAGAGGATCTTCGCTAAAATAAGGATCCTGCATTGCCTGCTCAGACGTGATGCGCTTATTGGGATCCATCAACAGCAACTTCTGCAGTAAATGAAAAGCCTTGCTGTCGGACTTTATCTTATGTCGCTCCATATACTTAACCAGAGAACAGTTTGCATAACTATAGAGAAAAAGAAAATAAAGGGAAAAGGTGATAATATTCTCACAAGTTGAAAATGTTTAGGGTAGACTAACTTTGATCTCTTGAAGTCTTTCGTTAGAGTGTGATGCTCTGGCATCTTTCTAATATCCTCCCAGTCTTTATCCTGTGGAAAGCCCATCACATTGAATATTCTGTCCAGTTGGTCGTGGTGGTAGGGATTGCTTGTCTTTATGTCCTCTTGGCGGCAGTGGAAGATGGGTTCGGAGGTCAAAAGCTCGGCAAAGATACAACCGATTGCCCATATGTCTGCGTAATACAATTTATCAGGTTAAGATTCATCAATAAAATGATTCCGAAGCATACTCACCGATGGCTTTTGTATAATGCCTCGCTCCCAGGAGCAGCTCTGGCGCTCTATACCAGAAAGTGACCACCACAGGGTCCAGGTCAGCCAGTGGCTTTAATGGAGCATTGAAGAGCCTCGCAAATCCCATGTCGGCAATTTTAACGCGTCCCCGCTCATTTCCCTCGCCCATCACGAGGATATTGGCAGGCTTGAGATCTCTGTGGAGCACCCAATTTGAGTGCAAGTAGTGAATGCCGTCCAGAATTTGATACAGCAAACTCTTCACCATCCCTTTTGGCACCATTACGGGCTTCTTCGTGGCCTTGGCCGCTCGATGGAACTTGATGATGTGCCACAAATCGTGCTCCGCATAGTCAAAGAGAAGCCACACTTTTCTGTCCGTATGCGATAGAAATACCCGGATCAGATTGATCACATTCACGTGCTTCAGTTCACGGAGGAGCTGTAAGAGAGGACAATTAATAGTTTTGACTCTTCACTTGGAACACTCGGACTTACAGCTATTTCTCTGCATGCGGACATAGATAAGCCTGTGCCTTCTATCTGTTTGAGGGCGTAATCCTTTGTGTCATTGCCTTCCTTTCGGTGTGCTTTGTAGACGTGTCCATAAGTGCCGCGTCCAACTTTGCACCCTTCGAACTCGAACAAATCTTCCACCTTGGTGCGCTCGGCCTGTGTTCTCATCTTAAAGTCATAATCCATATTTCCGGATGGTTTTTCTGCTCGTCAAATATCGTAAAATTGCACTTTTCACAAGACTTTTCACCTCTGGTCTCATCAAAACACCGACTAGCGCCACCTGGAAAGTCAAAACACCCGCCATCTATAAATAATAGTGAAGTTGGCAAAGAGTGGAACATTTTTTGGGAGTGTGTGTGGAACGCGTTCTTATCTGCGATGTGAAAATGAGTTTTCCACGTTTCCCAACAGTTTTATTACCACAAACTGACAATAAGAATTTTTTTTAAGCGCCACAATGGTAAGAAACATAGATAGTATTACTATTTATTGATGTTTCCCACAAACTCAAGATTTCTCTTCATATTCCTCATCTGATATTGATATGTGAATTACCCTGAAATTTTCACTTTTACACGACTGTACGCATTGCTTAGGACTCCTCTTAGATTCCAGATATTCTCAAAGCTTTCTGGCTGTACGTTGTAGTTGGAGTCTACAGCTTTTGACCAAATCTCCACTTCCTTTGCTTTGTTCGGAACGGGAATTTTTGCTGTCCAGAGTGTCCAGCTCCAGGCTCTTCCAGCTGGTGCCTTTGTCAAATCTTCCTGCTCAAGTTCAGCCACATGCCATGAATTCCCACCGTCACATGTCAGATCCACCCTCACAATTCGGCATCCTCCACCCGACCATGCATAACCTGGAAGAGGAAATTGAGCTTGATTCTCTCAAGGCACTGTTTTTTTTCTAACCTTTCACGGTAATGTGCCCATTTTCCACTTTAACTTTCTCTCCGGGCGTTGGATAGCAAATCGCTGAAGTCACCGGCATGTGTTGGATAGCAGGACTCTTTGAGAAGTCCACTGTATCCCAATCAGTACTCGGTGAGAAACCTTTGTAGTCCTTCTGCTGCCAATGTGAGTCACTCTCTTCACTGGAAACGTACACTCTGCCTGAATGAATTTATGAGATTAGTTAGTTCCTGCGTTTCCTGACTCTCATAAACTTCCCCCTTACCCAGCCATTTGACATTCCTCGCCCCAACTGTTCCAGGAACGATAGCTCGCACCGGGAAGCCATGATCTTTACTGAGTGGCTGTCCATTCATTTCATACGCTAACAGAACGTCTCCTCGAGGATCCATGGCCTTTGCCAGGGGTATGGACGCTGCGTAGAAGGTGGATGTTGGGTCGGTATCGAGTCCCTCAAACTAAAAAAAATAAATAGAAAGGATTTAAAAAAAAAAGACGGAAGGAAATTGTCAGGAAACTCACATGCACATGCCTCACTTCATCAGATTTGACTCCAAGTTTATTGAGGATGTCACACAATTTAACTCCAGTCCACTCAGCATTTCCCACTGCTGATGGTCCCCAAAACAACCCTTTCACCTTCTTCACAGAATCCATTTCACTACGACGATTCCCACCGCACATAACAACTGCAGTGACTGTGTGACGAGGCAATTTCTTGAGGTCCTTCATTGTCATCTTGGTCACTTTCTTCACTCCTTCCACTTCAAACTCAAGCTCATAAGTCTTCTCGTCGATCTCTGGAACAGGCAAATGGTTCCTCACGTAAAAGAATTCACTGAAATTGATAAGATTTTTAAAATTCCTCTCATATTTTCAGATGACTCAAAATACTTTGGAGTTATGAAGCTGTCGATCAACATAGATGGAGGAGGCTCAGCATTGAAAGGCTTCTGAGCTGCAGGCTTCAGGATGGGATGTCTTCGTGGTTCTCCTGACCACGGATCGCCCATATCTTTGGTACTGACTTGATCCTCAGGATTGAGATTACCAATCCTGAAAGATTCAAGCAGTGTGAGAACTTCTGGAGTGTTATGCTGCTGGAAAATGTGCCAGAAGGGATCAATTGCAGCTCCAGCGGCGAGCATCACTTTGTCACTTCCTGGATGCTTGGGCACAAAATCAGTCACATCATACACGCCAATGCCATATGTTACCCAAATGCCAGTCTTCCTGGAAGGGAAACAGAATATTATCAAAGGAAAAGGTTAAAAACAACTCTCCTCACTCATTGTTGTGCTCAGAAATTTCCTCAATTTTGTACGTTGGCAAGTCTTTGCGGATGGTTTTGTGATGATTCTCTATATCCGAATCATATTTTTCTTTAGCTTCCACAGAAGAATCTCCTGAAATTTTTTTATAATCAAGTACAATTGCAGAGTATTGTTAAAGGATAAGAGTGATTTACCAATTTCTGTAGCCCATGTAAGAAGTGCTCCTGCAATTGTTCCAGTTGCTAGTAAGAGATATCTCTTATTCCTTCGGTTTTCCCACCAATCTTGAGCTCCATCGTGACTATGATAATCTCGGTAGTTCGGAATATTCGGCAAATTAGTCGTAGATCTCAAATAAATTCCCTTGAGGGAATTGAGTCTGTAATATATGTAGTCAGTGGTGTTTAGTACTAATAATTTTCTTTTATTGATTGTTTTGTAGCCGTGAGGAGTGTGTTTTTTACACTTTCATGCACAAATAATTCTCGATATCTTACCTTTTTAATCGCAAAATAGCTGATAGTCTGGCCATTGAAGAGTGAGATGTTTATTTGACCGGCGCTTTTGTGTATGAGTTATCAACTAGTTTCACTACACACTCAACACACTTCGCAACTTTTCACGCAATACGGGGTAATTTTGTCACTAATTCAATGTCTACCCGATATGAAAGATGTAATGCAATTGAAGTTGTTGCTCCTTAACCGAAAAACCCTTAAATGATCTGGAATTATTGATAATATTGAATTCTTTGCAGAATTCCACTCTGTACGTGTGAGAAGGTAAATAATACCACTGGTTCTTCGATTCTCAAAGGCGAGTTCGCGATCTGAGCCCACTGACCACATGCGTCTGCTGATGTTGGTGAGTATGGTTTGCGTTCGATAGGGAATGTTTGAGAAGCTCTGATGGAATGAACAAATCCCCTCCACGCGGCTTAGATATATATATTTGCCTCTGTCGCTCCTACTATTGTCGGTCGTAGTCTCGCTCTGTTGCTGAGTATCTCTTTAAAATTGATACAAAACACTTTTTTGCCTCTCACAGTATTTTTTTAAAAATTGATACCACAGCTATAGACCATTGAGATAAGAAATAATGTTGCCAAGTGTTGGAATATGCTGTGTAGCAATTAATGCGAAAGTATCACATGCTTTGAGCGAGTGTGGCAACTTCAATCCGACATTCACCAGTTCTGGCGTAGCCGTGATCGTCTAGTGGTCAGGACCCCTCGTTGTGGCCGAGGAAACACAGGTTCGAATCCTGTTCACGGCAATGCTTCGATGCATTGTCACGGGCTGGAACTTTTTTTTCCTCTATTAATTATACCGTTATGCATTGTAAATCCAACAACAAGCTTTCGACAGCAAATAGAAGCAAATTTGCAACTAATTTGTTTTCAAACGGTTTACAATCGGGCGATAATATTCTCACATTTTTCCGGCGGCATGTAAAAAAGTAATGAGATGTTTGATATATGTACATGCATGTATGTTTTTTTTCTGAAATGAGTATTAATATTGATTTTGAATGAAAATTTTAATTTAAATTGAATATTTATGGCTGTAATTCTATTTTCATGCACGTATTGGACAATAAATTTGAGAGTATTGCGCTCTTTTTATCTTTTTGTGGTTTCATAAAATTTAGCATTTTGTCATGTACATATACATATAATTTATATTATTCAATTTTTTCTGTGAGAATAATGACCATTCATATTCTTAATTCTTCACCTCTTTGTTCATAGTATTTTGGAACTTTAGGAAAAATTATTGTGCCAACAATTAGTCAATACATTTATTTAAATCAAAGTTGGAATTTCAAAATATTTAAAAGCATTCTCAGTAGACAACTAATGGAATGAAAAACAGTACTCGATATGACAAACACGTGCAGGAAAATTAAATTTCCACCATAGACATTTTATAAGCGACAAAAAAAGAACACCTGCGTTGGTAAAGTGTGTTACTAATACTTTGGGTTGTTGCAATTTTGGAGCTTCTGAAAGCCAAAAAGAGCTCACATATGAAACCACGTAACAGAAGCTCACACAAAGAGAAATATTGTATTAAACTAAAGTTCTGACAGTTAAGGTCAATGTTTTTTAGAGGCGAAACTTAAAGGTTTGCTAAAGTAAATTTGAGATTAGGTTAGAAAGATGTCCAAACTGGCAGTGAGCATGTAATTTCCCCAAAAATGTATTTTACAATACATTTTCTCCACTCCCCCTCTTGTTTTGTGTTTTCTTTAATAAATACATACATATACCAATACGGGCGTAGCGCATGTGCGAGAATTTTCCTGAAAATCACCGAGGAAAAGCTCGATACACACGGCAATAGCATACATGAAAGAGAAAGACCTCTCGTTCACTTTGTCCGGTGAAAATATATTTTCTGGCGATAGAGTAAGTGTGGGATAGAGTGAGATGGGAGTTGTATGAAAATTACACTCAATATTCCTGTGTGAAAATTTCTCCAGAAAATTCAGAGTGTGCGAATGTTTGATAAAAAGTCTCGTTTCAACCATTTTTCCATCTAATTGCTGGCAGTGAAGAGTCTCGCTTCTCGCTGAAGGAACTCCCCCCGGGGGGACGCGCTGCTTCCAGTGAAAATCAATTATAGGGTGAGAAAAAGCGTTTGCTTGCGAGGTGGCTCTTTTGCGCTCAACAGTGGGGCTTCTGTGGCTGAAAGGGTGAGAGCCGCAAGTTTACTCTGGGATAAGTTATATGTGTTTTATGTGAATGAAGTGGAGTGATTGACTCTTAAATCCAATTGAGCTCTTTACTGCTCTGATCTGCTCCGTGGCTCGTCTGAGATTTGTGTGGAGGCTGTGTGTGGTTAGATTGAGTGAGAGCTGCCACACTGCGATGCATTGCTAAAGTGGTTGCATTGCGTGCGAATCTGTGGGGGTGCTTACGGGGAGTTAGATTGATTTTGAGGAATTGTGTGTGATATGTGAAACGGGGTGGGCAATATGGAAGATGAATGTGAAATAATCAATTTCTTGTGATTAGTACCTTTTGATAGGCACACAACGATTTCATCTTCGTCCACTAATCGACCGTAGCATCGGAGGGAGGAGACGTGGCAAATTTTCCGGTGAATTTTCCTTTGTCTGACAACAAGAACGGACGCTCGGAATCGATTGAATGTGAACGTCACGGAAGTGCAGAGAGATGTTTTGATTGATCGCTAGAATGGGCTTCTTGCACTAGTGTCCCTCACTCTGCCGGTGACCCCTGATCTTTTCCTCGGCCGCTAGGGCGGCTAAATAGTTGCGAGTGTGGGCGGCGCACGGGGGAAGAGCGTTGGAAGTACTTTATTTTCACTGTGACGTGCGTGAGGAGAGAATAAAAAGAATTCCTGGGCAACAGAATGCAGAGAAATAACTCGTAAATAATGCTGGGACTGAGAGGATGTGGCATAGCTGAGAGGGAAAGCCTAAAAACACCCTGAAAAGCCACAACGAACATGAGAAGAAGACTCCGGGGGTCTGTCTATGGTGTGGATGAAACGGATTCTCACTCAGGAGACCACCGACTACTGCAAGACTTCCACCCTGGCACCGGTACTACCGCAAGCCAACACCATCTCGTCGACCTCGGCGGCCCTAGGCAGTGCCATTGTCATCAGCAGCAGTGGCAGTCAGACCAGCAGTCGGACCACGTCGCCACTGCTGTTTCAGGCCCTGCCACCGCCACCCCCGCCACTATTGCACAACCACCGATCCACCATCGAGGAGGTGGCACTGAAGAATTGCCTCGCCACGATCCGGTGCTCCGTAGCCTCACCGCAGATCACATTCCCACCGCCATCACCGCTCAATCGCTCCTGCCCTGCTGAACCGTTCACTGTGACGCCATTCTACCACCACCCACGCCGCTTTCCGCGCTTCCAGACACTTCTGGGTGAGCGTGTGGCTTCGTCGTCGGCTATCTCCACACCCAGCGGACACTTGTTCCTCTCTTCCGTGGACCTGGCGCTGGGCAAAGCGCAGCAGCAAGACTTCCTGTCACTCTCCCTGTCGCCGCCGCTCAACCGACGCCGTGACATGCCGGCGCTGCGGGGACCCTTCGTCAGTCTGTGAGTATGACGCCCCACAGGGTGACCCTGCCTTCCTTTCAATGTCCAAGTGGTGAGTGAGTGATATTTCCTTGGCTCTTGGCCGTAGTGGTTCTTCAAGGACTAATCAGAGAATATTTTCTAATTAATTCTTCTTTTTCCATTTATCCTACATAAAATCCGTCCTAGTGTTTGTGCTCATTTTATGCACATTTTTCATTGACAAACTAAGCATGAGCGAAGGTCCGTCATGGACGAGATCAGGGAGATGAGTGGACTCCTAGTGAGCGGCACGTTGGCCACCCTACCATCATCGCACAGTTGCGCGTCCGCGATAGACTCCAGTGCTCGAAGCCAACGTCAGAGACTCGCAGTGTGTGTCCCACTTCTCGCTGGCTCCACAGTCGGGGCTGCAGCACACGAGAAAGGGTGACTTTTCCCCAGCGACTTGCACTGCATTCGCTACTCTCTGACCCGTGACGTGACTGTTTCTTCTGCAACCCTCTCGTAATCCTTCCTGAGTCCCTGTCGAGTGCCAAAAAGAGGAAGAGGTTCCCCGCGACGAATATCCAGATATCCCATTAGATGGCTCCTCAATTGGGGTATGTACACTCAATTGAATGTAATTCGTCTCGTGATGGTGTATTCATTGTATCTGTTGGAGTCAGTGAATTTTCCTGGTGTGCAATTAAAACCACCCCCCAGAGAAGTTGGAGCTTTTTCAGTGATGTAGAAAATTCAATGTGAAAGGATTGTCGAGGCAAGTTTGCGAAAATACTTAATTGTTACTCATCTGAGATGAGATTTTATGCGCTGTATCTGGTCTCTCGATGAATGTAAATTGCGCTCTGTGTTTTCGATACTGAGAAGTAATTTTCCTTAGGAGAACATTTTGTGTGTGTTTCTCTAAAAATAAAATGTGCCACACAGTGGCGGCTTTTTCTTGTTGACCCCCTGAATATGTATGTGAGAAAAATGGCATTTGGGAGTGTGTAAATTTCAGTCATTTGGGTAAAGGTCTATTGAGCTCCTCATGTTCTCACTCCTGCTCCTCCAAATATTTCCGTGTGATTTGTGTGTCCTACATTGGTGTTTTTCCTCATTCTTTCGAGGACATTAGAAGGAGTTTTCGCCGCTTTAGCCAAGAATCCTCGTCGCTTCACTTGTGTGTCTTTTCTGCCTTTCACATCTTTTTGGGTTGGGCCTCAGTGTTCTGTCTTGTCGCTCTCTCTTTCTCTCGAAATGTGTGTGATTATAATTTTTCCTCTCTCTTGGGTGACATAGTTCGTCCCGTTTGACTCTTGAATGCTAATAATATGAGTGTTTTGCAGAGAATTCCCTTGCGCCATTACATAATGGTAGGAATAAATTAAAATTTGCGCCCAGTGAAGAAGTTGAGGGCAAGAGTGACACAATAGTTCTACCTATAATTCGTGCATTGATTTCATATATGATTTAACTGAGTGATTTCATAGTTATTTTGTCGATAGAGCAATCCCGAAAAAGCGAGAGTGATTGTTCGCTACTCATGCAACTATGCCTCACGATAACTGGCGTCAAAATTAGCAAAGTGGAACACTCTGTGCAAAATTTCACACTATAACGGGGGTGAATTATATAACCCGGAGAAAATAAAATCATATAGCAAATTGGATGTTGTGCAGCGAAACCTGTAATCTACATCACAGTGCCACTATAGCCCTGTGCATCAGGCAAGCGCGTGAATTGCCACGATAGTTGTGACGTGAATTGGCTGTGATTGACGGTGCCCCATGACGGGGGATATAGGTCGTGATTTTTGTGCTGTTCTCACGAAACGGGAGCAATTCTACTCTATGATCACCACTATTTCACCCACTTCCGTCTGTGGGGGCCACGAAGTTCTGTCATTCCCCGATGATGGCCCCGTCCAGCATGTCCCGACGCGGAAGCATGCCACCAAGAAGCCTTCTGTCCTATCCACTGAGCAGAAGTACAGGCAATCGAGTGTCATCACATCCCACTTGAGTCTCCATCAACGCTTTCATGAGACCCAAATTGCCGAAATGACCCCCGAAACCTCTGATACTCTGGACACTCTCAGTCATCTTACCTGGTGCACAACTCATATTGTGGGCTTCATTGCTCTCCTGATCATTTTTTCTCGTTGTATGGGTGTTCATGTACTGCAAGGTGCCACCAAGAGGACTTCGCAAGCGGCATTTGAAGCTTCTGAAGTCATCCCCATGAAGTCGGTAATTGAGGGAGGTGCAGAAGAGACTTTGGCGTCAGATAAAAAGGCCAAGGCAGCGAAGAAAAAGTGGGATCGCAGTCTTCTAACTAAGAAGAGAAAATGTGTTTCTATGGGTCCCATAATGGTGGCCCATGGCCGCGATCGGAGTGATTCTCCACCACCTAAACCACCACCTCGACTCAAGAGCCCCAAACTTCAGTCTGCATCAAGCTATGTGTGTGTGAATTTCTCTTTTTTCCCCTCCAAATATCCCTAGTTATATTGAAATCTCCACATTATCTAATAAATTCGATCAACTCACAGATCCGAACCACGATCCGGGACAACAGATGAGCCTTACGCCGAGTCTCCAGATAGCAGTCTATATGGGAGCGACGAGGAACAGGAGGACGTCTCCCAGTATTGCCGCGGAGGCTATCATCCCATCGTGATTGGCGATGTGTTTGACAATCGCTACCGTGTTGTGCGGAAGCTGGGATGGGGGCACTTTTCCACTGTGTGGCTCTGCTGGGATATCGAGTGAGTGATTCAATCCCTGTCCATCGTACAGATTTGCCATGAGATTGCATGCACGGTAAATTATAATGGTTCAACAGATTAAATCTGAAAGCATTAAGAGGGCTTAATTGCTCGCTATTCTACACAGAATGATCTATTATTTTAACGTAGCACGAATAATTTAAAGATAAATAGAATTTTCTCCCATGGAGGGATAAATAAAAAAATATATATTTTGCGAATGAAGTTCGTTCATTTTAATTGAAGTGATTATATGTATGTAGGTTGTCAGCAAATTTGTTGTGCAAACTGCAGAAACTGTGGAAACTTGAGAAGAACAATTAAAAGATTCACAAATACACACGCGAAACACTATAACACACTTTAGGTAGAATTGTGATGAGTGTGATTTAGTGTAACAAAATGCCATTTATTGAATTTCAAAACTTCCAAATATGAGAAAAATCACTTTGAACAAACAAGCGAAGTAATTTATTGAAAATAAATTGTGTTGGATGATAAAATGGTTTTTAGAAAGTATATTTCAGTAATTGATTTAGCAATGAATTGTAAAATTAAGAAGAAATAAGGAAGTTACTGTGATCAGTTCAAATTAGCTTCATATGCAATTGCTTCAATAAAATTACAAAATGCTATCAGTAAGGAATCGATGTGAATGTGAAAATCGAATACAAGGAATAAGGCTTTTCAAGTGCCTCTCACATGTCTAAGAATGCAAAAAAAATGAATAAAATTATTGAGAAAGTATTCAGAAACAAGCTGTGCAAAATCACATCACATTACATACACACACACACACACATCATATCCAATTCTCAATTCAAGACTCAATTTCAATATGCAGGCGAAGTTTCTGAAAGCCTTCTCTGGCTCTTCATCTTTTGAATGCCATGCAGAGGGTTGAAAGTCAGTACATTGTGCGCATAATATAAACAGGAAGGATCTCACAGAGGTGTGAAGTGCACCGACGATTGTGCATTCACAAGTAATGAAATTAAATGTTTCATTCAGTGTCACTCAAAAGGATTCACTTTGTAAGTTCTATTTATAGCAGGACTAGAAAGATTTTCTTTTTTAATGAAATTACACGGCATTCAGGTGGGAATTGAGTTGAAAATTCAGTGGAAAATCAATAAGCCATTCGTCAAACTATTTTGATGTGCGAAACTATTCACCTACCTCTGCGTTTTCAATTTGTGATGAAAATTGACAGGGCTTCGAGCCAATTAATAAGTTATTTGTTCATTGGCAGAGGGCTATTATTTTTCACGTGAGGAGTGGTTTTCAAGGGATTCTATTACGGTGTTTTTCGTGGGAAAATGAGGTCGTAAATATTTATCGAGCATAATTCACAAACAGTGTTGAGAAAATTGTTTCAAAATTGCTTGAGGAAATAATTAGGTGTAATTCATCTCAATTGACAAAGGCAACTTTCACATTGGGGAGTTGCAGTGAGAAAGTGGGACAGAAGGTATGAGAGCATAATTCGCATGTTAGACATCCTGAAAGACAGCTTATCACTTCATTTAATGTAGTTTTTGATTGATGACTCATGAATCACTTTATTGCCATGACAAAGTGATTAGAAAATGAACATAGAAAATTCTGTTCTGACTCAATCGAGGTGAAGACATTTAATACGAATGTCATGCAAATGAATGCCTTTTTTCCATATTACAAATAATATGAAATTAGTTGAGGGTGAAAAGCAATGAAATTCATCCCTCTTCTACTGTTTATAACACCTAACCATTACAATAGTGACGCCTAATGAATTTTGAAATTGATTTTTCATTTAGAAGGCACAATAAATTTTCTGCATGAGCAAATTTAAATTTATGCATGGTGGAAGGAATGAAAATCACGACTATAGGAAGTTAGTGACGTTCTGTAGGCGAAAAAGTGTTGAAAATTTATCATAAATATCACATAAAAGCCATTTTTTCTAATTACATTTTCTTTGATATGCTGTGTTGCAGGGACGAAAAGTACGTGGCTTTGAAGGTGGTGAAGAGTGCTCCGCACTACACTGAGACGGCCACAGATGAAATTCACTTGCTGGAGGTGATCAGCACGGCGGATCCATTTGATTTGAATCGTGATAAGATCGTGCGGCTGCTCAACAACTTTACTGTGCGTGGCGTGAATGGCGTGCACACGTGTCTGGTGTTTGAGGCGCTGGGATGCAGTCTGTACAAGTTGATCGTGAAGAATAACTACCAGGGTTTGCCGCTTCATCTTGTGCGCTCGGTGATCAAGCAAATGCTTCAGGGCCTCGATTATCTGCACACGAAGTGTCACATTATCCACACGGACGTGAAGCCAGAGAACATTCTACTCGTTATGGACAACGTGGCAGTGGTCAATCAGCAGATTGATGATGAAATCATGTCAATGAGAGCACGCGGAGTGGAATTTCCAGACTCCTACGGTGAGTCCCATGCGCGAATCTCATTATAGCGCTTATCGCAAACACGGCTGTTTGCTCTAAAATATGACTCAAGAGATATTGAATTTCTCTCCATCCTATTTTACTCAAGCATTTCAATTGTACAGCGAAGCCTTGAGGATACGTGATGCCCCCAGGAGAATTAATTGGCGCAATGTAGCAATTTTACAAGTCTGAGGGCAAGTTGCTCAGACAATTTTAATAGAATTTCTCATTTGGGAGTGATATCCTTGAGTTTTTTGCACGGTACTTCATTTCAATTTCTACCACTTGAATGGCTTGAGTAGGCAATATTTTGGAAATGAGAGAAAGAGAGAGAGATAGATAGATGGGGTTGAGTGAGCAGAGATAGAGATTAATAATATAATTAGTGTATAATTGGAGGGCTTGAGGGTGTCTTGCTGAGCAATGGAGACGCTTTTAGGAATGGGTAATGTTGAAAAAGTATCTGAGACTGAAAGAGATTCTGCAGATAGAGAGTTTTCAATAATTTGTATAACAACCACAAATTTCAGAGAATATTTTCTTTTATTCTCCTTGTTCAGTTTTCCGTGAAAAATGTAAAGTGCCCTGAGGAAAAGGTCAGAGAAGAAGAAAAATATCCTGACAAAGGTCTTTTTTTACGTACTCCATGAAAACATCGTTTAATTCGCTTATAAATCAGTATCTCAGATATTGAATTTATTATATAATGTGTCTAAATTCTCTCAATCTCCCACACAGTGAGTGCATTTGAGAAGCGCTCACTCAATCGCAGCAGCATCGAGGAGGACCTTCTAAAGAGCACACCCATCTCGTCATCTGGCACATCCAAGCAGACCACCGGCACTACAAGTATTGACATCTCGTCACCGTCCGAGGAAGAGGGCGTGAGTGTGGGCGCTGATCGTGGAGTAGCGGCGAACATGATGGCCTTTCGGCAGCAATCGAGCCTCGAGGATTTTGTGGACAATTCCGGAGCGGCAGCCATGGCTGGCATTCTCACAGGATCTGACTTTCCGGGGCGCTATCGCGTGGAGAGACGCAGTAGTCAAGCACAATTGGCCAAACTCGAGTTGGCCGCCTTAAATGAAAGGGTGAGATTATATTGCAGCTCTTCTGGGAAGCTTGAATTATGCAATCAAACGTAAAATCGCTTGACAGTTGTAAGCTATAAATCACAACATAGAATTAGATGAATCAAAATGAAATGAGTGGGTTTTTGGGGGTTCAATGACCAAATGTCGCGCGGTAAGGAGTGTTATAGGGACTAAAGGATTAAAGGTGATTTTGTTGTTTCTCCAACAGACAGGGACAACGTCTGAATTAACAAAGGACCAAACCAAGGCATATATGCCGTCTACTCAATCATATTCGAGCACTCTTCAGTCGATAATCAACGGGAACAGTATTCGTGTGAAAATTGCCGACTTGGGAAATGCTTGTTATGACGTGAGTGTTCTTTTTCTCGGAATAATCTTTGTCACTGGATAAAGTGTTACTTTTTGGGGTACAGTATCACCACTTCACGGAAGATATTCAGACTCGTCAGTATCGGTCCGTGGAGGTGCTCCTGGGAGCCCCGTACAACTTTACAGCGGATATCTGGAGCACGGCATGCTTGGCATTTGAATTGGCCACAGGAGACTATCTGTTTGATCCACATGCCGGCGATAACTACACACGCGATGAGGATCATTTGGCGCATATCATCGAACTCTTGGGAAACATTCCACCAAGTTTAATCTTCCGTGGGAAGCACGGGAACAAATACTTCACCAGCACTGGTATTTTCTGCGCGAAAGAGGAATTTCATGGAGTGGTCATGGGATGCTGTGAGCAAAAACATACAAAATTAGCCATTCTAAAATAGCTCCAATGACCGCTTTATGAAATTTCAACACCAAGAGTGCATTGACACTTCTGACCTATTCTTGCATTTCACCCTCAGGTCACTTGAGGAATATACTGAAATTGAAACCGTGGGGCCTCCAGAACGTGTTGATTGAGAAATACGAGTGGGATCCAATTGAGGCACGAGATTTCACGGACTTCCTGCTGCCGATGCTCCATTTCAATCCCATCCTTCGAGCATCTGCTGCACAATGCTTGAAGCATCCGTGGCTCGAGTGAACGGGTGCGCGTTCGTCATGGCAGCTCCGACATTTCTCACCACATACTGTAAAGCGCGCAGTCGAAAGCAGAGTGAAGAGAGAGAGAGAGAGGAAGAGTAAGGGAAAGAGAGAGAGGCTCCTTCTGAAGGTAGGAAAGAGGAATTAACTTATTGCATAGCTAAATATCATCTCTTTCATCATTTTATTGTTAGACAAATATTTAATAATAATGAAAACCTTAAATTAAAATCATGTAGATGAAGGTATTGTAATATTATCAAGAAAACTGACAAATTAAAAAGGAATTTTGCCAAATTGGACCGAGAAGATCATCGTTTCCAGTCGCCGGGGGTGGAAAGGATGGGAGTATAGAATTGGGAATTCAGTGTCACAGCTCACTTGCCGCCGAATGGCCAGTGACTGCGTCGGGAATTGATGGAGCCCACGCTACTGCCATTGCTCAAATTGCTGCTGTGACTGCTGCGTCCGGAAGAATAGGTCCTATTGCGGAAATCACTCAGCGTTGGCGAAGTGTCCACCGAATTGGGAATCGCAAAGATGTCCTGGACAGACGGTCGACTTGGCTGACGAGGTTCAATTGTCTCTGTGATTTGCAAAAGGCAGAATTACCAGGTAAGAATTGTGTGCCGAAAATTTTCCACAACGTTAAGAAATCACTCACCAAATATTGGGACCTGATCGTATAGCGACCCTTGCCTTGAGGAGCGTGTAAAGTAACTTTTGTTACCTGGCGAGGCGAGTTGCATGGGCAGTGCAAGTGTTATATGTCCCCAAATTTGATGCTCCTTTATGGCCTTCTTAATGGCTGTGAACCACTTTGTTTGCTCCGTCACTGACTTCGTTCGGAAAGTGTAGTCCTGAAATATTTCACGGTGATGATTAATGGGATCTACCCAATGGTGATTCCTCTCTTTGTCACTCACCTCGAGAGCCCCTTCCTCTAGATTGGACAAAATGAAGTCTGTATCGCCTTTCTGTTTCAATTTCGTATCTCTTGTCACATCAAGACTTCGTCTCGGCTGAATGTTGCTCTTCATAGTCTCCTCGTCATCCCACATCTCCAAACGGAATGCCTGCAGTCTGGCAATGCCGTCCACAGGACGACAGGAGCCCTTCGCCAGTAGATTTAGCTCACCCACGATCAACGGCTGCTCCACGGCGTCCGCTTGGACGGCCAGACGACAGCAGAAGTGTCCGAAGAGCGGCAACTTCCCAGTGGGATTCTGACACGCGTTGCTGTTATTTGGTGAGAGACACAGGTCATGTGTGTGAGGTAGATCCGAGGCGTCAGACAGTGTCAAGTGAGCCGTTGCGATTAAATCATATTTTGGCCCTCTGCAAGACACAAATTCGGGGAAGAGTATTAACTCAATGGTTCCCAGTAATATTTCAAAGAATTCTACACTCACATTTTTGTATTATTCAGTTCATCTTTGAGATTAGCAGCCAGTCTTTTACCCACTGTTCGACTAATTGAACTGTGTATCGTATTCTTTATTTTTCGTGGTGTTGATGCAATCGATAAATCAGACTCCATCATCACTGCGTACACCTCCAATTTCAGCTCGAAATCGGGAGTGATATTGGAACTGTAGAGGATGAAAAATATAATTTAGTATGTGTAAAAAAATTTAAAGACCCCTTTCGAAAGTGTAAACTTACAAGAGAATAGCATCGCTAAAAGTGATGTCCGTGAGATTCCTATCCACAGGACACAGAAGCGATGTGTCGTAGATCTCAGTGCCGATCTTCGCGAGGCAAAATACAGCGAAGCGCCGATGATCACCCTTGTTCTTGAAGTGGTCTGTATCCCGCCACATCAGAGGCATCCGAATCTCACTGAGAGACACCTTCCCGGTAGGCTTGGACCTCTGCGTGGTGTCTCGATCGCGCTTCCGCCGCTGCAACTCCGCCATGTACGCCGTCATCCGCTCATTGGATGTGAGGAGGTTCTTGGCCGCCTCGAGAATTTGAGTACTGTTGGCATTTGATGCCGAATTTCCAGCATATGCGGAGCCCTTTGACGATGTCTTTGGATTGTTGCACGCAGCTAGCAACTTTGCCGAGCCCTCACGCATCTTGATCTCGAGATCTATCTTCTGCTCCAGGTCCAACTCCTGCAAATCAGAGAACAGAAATCACTTAGCAGAGCGATTATCTCTCATGGTCTTGTATGAAAAAGTAGCCGAAAGTGGTTCCACTAAAGAAGCATGATGGATTTTTTTTCTCTCTCTCTCACTTCTAAACCATTTTCAGATACTTTGAGACGATTAAGTTCTATTGGCTATTCATGTGATACCCATTTATGAATAAAGTGTAGGATAATGAGACAAGCTGTATTGGAAGACATGTGTTAGATTCAATTTACATTGGCGTCGGCGTTAATTCCAACAATTGGACTGGCAAGAGCAACAAAAGAGTTTACGTTATGCAACTTTCAACGCTTCTGTCACATTATATATATATATTAAATATCACCATGTTAGACCGTCATTCAATTCTCAATTTTATGAATTTTTGCTCATAGCTCACAATGCATTGTGCAATACTTCTCATCTCAGTGTTATGTATTCTGAGTAAAACAATTCTTTGCATTTCAAAATGTACCCTCAAATAGTGGGAATTTTCACTGAATTTCTGCAAGATTACACTTGTGAATTTCTAAATATAAATTTAATTACAATAAAATACTATTCACATTCTGATAACGTTGTATACTTATATAGAAACAATGCACAAAATTTTCAGACATTTTTTGGAGATATGGAAGAGTTTTCATGGGAAACATGATCTCATCTCAATCTCTCCATCTTCTCTACGTCACTGAGTCATACGATAAATGTTTGCAAAACGGTTATATATTCACAAAAATCCTATTCTAACTCTCACTCTGGCAGCCACAAAAGTGTAAATAGTGAATCAATTATAATACAGACTGTCACTGAGTGCTTCTGTTCTATGTCGTTGGAGAAGTCGTTAGAAATAAACCGCTTAATACCAATTGAATTAATTGATCCCTCTTTCCTACATTTTATTCTCTTGGGAGGCACACAACAATTCTTTCATATGCGATAATGAACTTAATAAAATTGCCCGAATAGAGCGAAAAAGAGTTTTGATTATGCTTTAGTGCTGTCCTTGACTCCATTGACTATAGCTTTCGTACGGTCCAGTGCTGAGATGATGGCGGGCATTAAAATGTGAAGATGAAAGAAAGAGTGTGGAGTGTGGCAAAAGGCAACAGAGTGTATAAATTGGCCTACAAAACATCATGTTGCACATAATAATGTCCGTAGGAAGCGAATGCACTCTGAAACAGGATAAATCTTCTTAACTGAAAATTGTCATCAGGCCACGTGAAAAAAGTCAAGTGGAGATATCCACAAGTATCACTAGAGTGTATCCAGGAAGCTATTTATCACCATTTTTATGGCTATACCCAAAATAGATGCTATTTCTCGCCTCTTTGTTTCCTTCTCTCTCATTGCGTGTCTTATAGAGACCATTTTAAAATGATATCCAAATTCCTCCTGGAGATTCATTGACAATTTATCGCCACAGAGTAACATTTTTCTCATGATAGCTGAAGAAGTTTCTAAAATTTCACCATTTACCTCTAAAATGAGATCATTCTCTCGTAAACCACCACTAATTGACGCTAAATTCAGAAAAAAAGTAGTGAGAAATGAAATAATAATATTTAGCAAATGAACATTTCTAATCTCGTTGAAACAATAAAACATTTAATTTGAAATTATAATGTCGGGGGTAAAGATAACAGTTTCAACCAGCAGAAATGTAATTTTCTGCAAAAATTTCTTAAAATTGATGTTCTTCTACGTTCGTGTGTGTCTTCTTTCTCAAGAGATTTTTTACCCAATATAAATTTTTAAGTATTCCACCAAGTTGTGTGTGAAGAACAAACCAACATGATTTTCAGTTTTAACCTTTTTCTCTTCAATATTTCGAGGTGAGTTTCCATGAATTGTTTAAATAACTTGTTTTCACTGCACTATCATTCTTCTCATTGAAATATTAACCAAATATGCAATACAACTTTAGTACCAATCGAAAGAGGCACAAGAACCTTCGACGAAGTCTCTAAAGGAGAAACAGTAGAAGGTACCCATTGGAATTTGTTACTTCTTCCGGTACCACGCTGAAAAATCCAGAGTAAATTAATATTCAGCAGCCGTGTCTTGTCTATAAAGAGTCACCAAACTGTTCAATGAGGCAAACATATGTAAACCGTCTCTGGTCGTTCGTGGTGTGTGTTAGAATTAGAAATTGTGGGCTGAGTGAGAACATGTTCCGTCATCATTGCACAAGCCTGTCGAATTGTCCCTCCAATTTAATAAAATATAAGTAATGCACAGCGACTGAACGCGCAATATAAAGTGTTCCAGCAAGTCATGAAGCAAATATTGAGTGGGTATATTACTTTAAAAAAAACGCCTTGATAACTATTCAAATATTCATAAATCTCCATTCAATCAAGACATGTTTTATTGATGTGACAAAATTCTATTCACATGCACCAGAAATTCATGCAATTTGCTATATTCGTTTTCCGCCAAAATAGTGTTTAAATGTGGGTTTAAACAAAGTGCCTCAAAGTGAATTATTAAAATTCATACATCCCAATAAATAGGTGCACATGTTTTTATTGACTTTCAAATGGCACTAAAAAAGTAATTAGCATGATCATTTGTGAGCAATAAATTAAAACAGGAAGACTCTTTGGTAAATGCAAAGTGCTTGGCTTTATAACTCTATCAATTCTCATCGTGGGAGAAATCACAAATCACATGTCCCTCATAGAAACTATGTTTATTTAGTTTTCAATCAAGTCAAGCATACAGTGACATTTTGTTTCATGTCTGTATGCCGAATTTCGCACTGTGTGATTGCGGTTGACCTCAAGAATACTCCATAAAATTTGCGGAGTTCAATGCTCAATATATTGACAAAATTGAAAAGCTGGCATATTTTGTTCAATTGGAATCAGTTCACAAACTATGAAGACCCAGACAGTTATTTTATTTTATTAATTGCCCAAATGTGCCAAATTGACAAAATTGTATTCTGTCTTTTGCAACTGTTCATCATTTTGTTACCAAAGCAAAAATTTGATAGACTTGCAGGCATATGCAAAGTAACTCCTGAAATTGTCTTCGCAGACGCTTTTTCAGTCTCTTTCAATCGTCTCCATGTGGTAATATAAAATGGAAATAAAATAAGCTGGCAATTGCAAAGAGAGATGCATATGCATTAATGCCGCACTTTTGTCCTCAAGTTATTGTGAGTTGTGCAGAAAAGTGAGGTATATTTATTTATAGAAGAAAATCTCCCAATGTGTGTCTCCTCATTGGCTGGTGGAATTTATTAGTATTTTGCCTTAATAGCTATATTTAATCTGTATTATCACTATGGGTGAAACATTTTTAAGTTAAGTTGGAGAAAAACCATATTCCGTGCTATTATAGAAAATGGCAATTTAACTTTGTCATACCAGAAAGTATTTAAGCGGAGATGTTTCTCTAAATATTTTGAATGTTTTACACGTTGCAGTGAAACGAAAACTATACATCATGTTGTTTAACATTTTGCAAGAAAAATGGGACAGACCTTCACAAGAAGTAGTCACAGAAATCAACGCCTAATTTGGACAATCCATGGTGAAGGTTTACACGTTTTCGCACCTCATCGCTAAATTTACCGCACTATCGCGCGGGTGTCTTATTACGTTGGGCAAGAGTAATGAGTCCGGAAGGGAGCTGCTAAATTTTCCCCTGCCACCTCTTTATTTGCTGCCGGTGCGACTGATAACACCGTCGAATTTCATTGTTTGCTAAGTAAATTTTGTGACACACAATTACATCATTGTCTCGTGTACGTGCAAGAAAACGCTATTTAAATTTCCATGAAATAAACTATAAATGTCTCACACGGGTTTTGATAAAGGCGCTGCAGCTGTTGAAATATTCTTTTCCACACCCAGCAAGTGTTTAAAATGCGAAAAAGGACCTATTTTCTCTCCACCAGAAATCTTACTTACAGATTTCTTGAAACATGGATCAACCTAACACCTTGTCTCTGTCTCTGTCCACTTTTCGCAAGAAAAAATGGCACACGCTCAGATTATTTTTAACGAACAAATTGGAGATGAAATTCTTCCGCAGGAGACCACAAAATGACTGATGTGTGCCGTACGAAAGGAGGAATGTGGCCAGGCGTGGTTTTATTATACCTTTATGTACACACATAAGATTTAATGGAGCAGTTCCAACGGACTTGCTTCACGTTATGAAAAGGTGTTCAATTGGTAATTTTCAAATAAATGATCCAAAGGTGCAAGCACCTTTTTCGAACCCTCGTCAACAATAATTAAGTACCCCAACTTCAATGCACCAGAGTATCGTAATTAAAGAGATTCCATGGTAAAAATATGAAAATTAATTTGCCAAATTTCATGTTTTGATTCACCACCCTTTTCACCTGGCATCTTGGATTTTTCGTTACGTCAAAACACAACATCCCAAGAGCACAATTTCAACAAACAGCGTCATATGGGGAGAGACATGCAAGACAGATTTTTCTCCGAAGAGCATGTGTGAAATTCAAGATGCGGGAAATGATTATGCAAAAGGGAATATTTTTCATTTTGACAGCGGAAGAGCTACTCAAATTTACAAGCATTAGAAATTCTCAGTTTCAAGCCCACCTACTACATTATTCCAACATGCGGGTGAACTCTTCCAGCATCCGCCTCACGACATATAAAAAAAATCATCATGAGAAGAGAATAACTTCAAACCTTTAGACTACATGCTATCTGACGAATGTAATACAGGTCCAAGTCTTGCAGCACTTCCAGTTTGGGCAGATAGTCTTTGTGATCCACGCCTAGATTGTCTCGCGGTGTACCACCGGTACTGTGACGATTTTTCTGTGATTTTGAGTTTGTACCACCGCCACTTCTCAATGAAAGACCGGCAAGTGGTGGGAAGCACGATTCCATGACTATTTGTGCTTTTTCCTCTATAACACTGAACACATTCAACACTACAAAGAACTTTTGAAGAATAAGAGACCTTCACTTTTTCCACTATACTCG